TCTAACTTAGGATTGGTTGTCAAAAAATCTTAAACTTTGATATATAGGGTAAGTGCTGCTATTTAAAAACACGTTTTATTAAATATCTCCGAATCATTTCAATTTTTACTTGGGTATGGATAAATTTTAAATAAGTATAGGTATGTAAAAAAGTAATTCACAACCGAAAATATGAACATATATAGGTATTATAATACATTTAGTACAGTTTTAAATACTTTTTATATGACTACAAACTGTAAACCAATTTTTCCAATTTTATACTAAAATTTTTTCACTTCACTCGAAATACAATCTTAAATACGATTGGTAAGCAGTAAATAACCATAAGAAAAAGTTATAAAATTGGAAGCTTTACACTTAAAAAACGCTATTTTTTTAATAAAAATGCCAAGTGTAGAAAATATACAAAAATTTATCCAAATTTAAAAGTACATATTCAAAAGTTTTAAAAATATCAAAAATAGCGAAAATTTAAAAATTTGTTGTAACTTTTTTGCAAATATAGTTGTAGTAAAATCGCGCAAAATATTACTGTATTATGTTTTAATAATAAGAGAAAAAGACGGCTAGACATTAAAAAAATAAAAAAAATTTTTTCAAAATGTAACCTAAAATTGGACAGTTACTTTCAGTTTCCACTCACCCATATGTGACGCGCTTTGAAGAAAGGTATCTGAAGAGAATGTATGTAATGTAATTTTTGGAGTAAAAATACAGAAAGAGATCAGCTCTTAATATAAACATAACCTTACAATGTTTCTCTTCTCATGTACACCTTCCTTCAAAAAGCGTCACATATTTAATGTGCGGTTTGAGTTTTACGGCTTGCGCATATAATTATAACAAAATTTTATACTTTCGATTTTCGATAAAACTTCCAATTCGGTTTCAATTCAAATCAAAATTCTATCGGCATCCCTTTGGAAATGCGGTGAAATTCTCACAAAAATAATGATTGAAATTCCAATGCAATCTCCAGAGCGGTCACTTTCAGATGAATATTTTCATGTGTATCGTTAAATATTTATCTCAAAATCATCGTAAAGTTAAGTTAGAAATTTAGGAAATAAAATTAATTATACGAAATTTGTCTCTGTAGTTCGAATGTAATAAGATTTAAATACTAACTTTAAATATTTCGAAAGCGTAACTTCTTTGTGGATATTATAAAAATTCCAATTTTCAAAGTATATATATTAATATTAATCTTACAATTTAAAAAAGCTTCTCTTGAATGATTAAACATCTAATTAGATATCTTCAGATAAATTCATAACGTAATTCAACTAGTCAGTAACTCTTATTTAAATTTCATATTTTCTGGAATTTAAATTCCAAATTTCGAAAGTGCTATTAAAATTTGTAATCAATTTTAGAAACAATGACCAACTTGGAAATATTCCGTACAAAAAGTTCTTCAAAGAAGATTCCCTCTGCGATTAAATATCTAAATTCCGATAATTATTACTGGAATTCTGATGGGTTTCCATATTGGTTTTTAGATATTTTTCAATATTCCAGCTTTATTCCGATTGGAATTTTGACTGACATACAACTGTATAGGCTTCGCACTTATCTATATACTATAAACTTTTTTTTTAGATTTGTGTCACTAAAAGCAATTTTTTTTGATAATTTGCACTATACACTATAAATCCGCTAATAGTTGAAATAAAATTAATATTATTTTCTTCAAAATAATCATAAATTCAGAAACTAACATTTACCTTGTTTCAGAAACATATCAAAATTTTTGTTTGCGAGAAAAACGCGTTTAAAGTTTTCGTAACTTATTGCAGTGAGTGAAGAAAGGGTCATAAAAATTGCTATACCTTCTTTTCTTTTGCATATTTCTTCAAATACGTTTTGGGACAATAATTTTATGATATACTAAGGCACATTTGAAAGCAAAAAAAAAAAAAAATCAATTTGTTTGAAATCCTTGACCAGGAAGTCGCCTTAAAAATGTTTCCAATTTTCTTTTTATGAATTTTGACCCAATTTCATCGGGAATCGAAACAAAAATCAAATTCCTGCTGAAATTTTTAAGAAACCCAATAATAGAAAATTTCGACAAAGAATATATATATATACGTTTATAGAATTTCGATGAAATTTTGATTCCTATATGACCTTCCACAATACAAAACAAAAACTTGAAATTAGATTTTATGAAAATTTTGTTAAGAAATAAAATTTCTCTGAAGTTGGTGATTAATATTTGAAATAATATGAAATAATTTCAAAAGATGTTAACACATTAAAAGTACAATTTCTTGACAGTTTTAGTTATTGCACAGGATAATATTGTTGTTGTAGAAACATTGCAGTTTAAAATGTTGAAGAAAAACATTATAGCAGTGCAGTACACACTGCAACCATGATAAATAGTAATGTCGGAGAGTTGAAAAACAATGTTGGAGGAACAAGTTTAAACACTAAGATTGAGATGCAAGCTATAGAGAAAACAATGTTAGGAGTATAGAATGTTGTGAACTATTGTTCAAGAATAATTATGGAGACCAATTGTTGATAGGAATGTTGTACAATAACATTATTGTTAGCAAACTTTTTTTCTTAACTTAAAGAGTTTAGAATTTAATAATAATTTAACGAAAAATTAATTGAGTAAATGATTTACTAAGTGGAATGGACTCAATATTAATCATTTGGAGAATGTTTCAAAATATATGTAGATTCTACTTTTTTTGAAAAAAACTCTTTCTCCTTAAATTTTAAATTTCGAAAGTTTATTAGAAGTGTGTGTGTGTTAAGTTGTCTATTAATAAAGCGTCGCAAATGCCTAAGTATAGGCATATCTATGATTCATTGAGTGGAAAATCCTGGTATTGGTGAGACTTAATTGAGAAGGAATTTCATCACCGAATTTCATTTTTCCTCAAATATACAAATTTTTTATTGGGCGATTTTAACAGACTTTTGGAATTTTTTATTTTTGAACAATAATTTCTTATGTATTCAAATTCAGATATTAATGAACGTGTTTTAATAACTCTACAGAACTACGTGACTGAATTATATCTGGAAATTTTTATCAAAAAATAATGAAGATGAATAAGTTTAAGAATTTGTTTTCATTCAAATAGTCTCTAGACTTTCAGCATAATCATTCCTTTTTGGATCTGCAAAACAATATTTTGTCTACAAACAAGATTTGTTTACAGTTTCAAGAATATTTGTTTAGTTTCAAGATTATTTCTTTTACAGATTCATCAATATTTGTTTATTGTTTCAAAAATATTTTTTTACGCTGAGAAAAAACTTTGGTTTTCAAAACAAAACATTTGGATCGTATTTAAATCAAAATTGTATTATCAAAGCAAAAAGATGTTTGTTGTCCTAGTCAACAATTAGTTGGGACAACTAAATAAGAAAATGAGGCTTTCGGTTGTCCCAACTGAAGTTTCTTGGGACAATCAACATTTCTTTTCTTTGATCAATAAAATTTTAGATTAAATACGAATAAAACGCTTTGATGTCGAAACTAAACTCTCCTCAGTAATAAAATCTTTGATTTTGTTTAATGTCTCACAGTGGTTAACAATATAGACAACAAAATTAATTACTTGGAATGGAAGTTTTAAGGACAAAACAAAAAATGTTTGTTGTCCCAGATAAACATTGGTTGAAACAACGAAATACAAAAAAGCTTTTAGTTGTTCCAGCCAAAGATTTTTGGAACGCAACCAATATTTTTTCTTGTATTGACAAAATTTTTGTCTAAAAACAAACCAAACGTTTTGTTGTCGAAACCACTCTCCTAATAAAAGTTGTCGATTATTAAAACGTTTTAATGTTTTTTTTAGTGCTACAAACAATTTTGGAATTGGCACAATTTCAATAAGGATTATTCGATTTTTCACCTTTAATTTAGTTTAGATTTTACCGCAGAGTGTTTGACAATATAGACAGCAAAGTTAAATACTTGAAATTGAAGTTTTAGTGACAATTATTGTTTCATTAACACTTTCACATTTGAACTTGCTACAATTTTCTTATAGTTCCAGAATATTAATAATATAGTATTGAAACAATTTGCTGATATTGTCGAAACTTTAAGTTTCTGTTTAGGACAAAAAAATGAAAAATTGAAAAGAAATTTGTAATTATAATAAAATTTGCAGTCTGGTAATCGGAATGATTACTCCCAATGAACACCGGGACTTTTTGTTCACGTACATCCTGGAACGATGATGATAATCGGAGACATAAAGACAACCGAAGAAGTTAGTTAGTTGCCACCCAGGCTTTAGACTGACTGACAGAAAAAAGGAAGAAAAAGATGTCCAAATGATGTGAAGAAAGATACCCAAAGATCCTCTTTTTGACTCCTTAATTAGTTACTTTTCCTTCACTATTTTCTAAATTTAAACGCAGTAATTGTTGCACTAAAGTAATAACAATCTCGACATTAGGATTGAGTTTAATTCAATAGGCACTTTAAGCTCTCCAACAGTTTAAATTATACTGAGGTTTTCTATTTGAATAATGGAATGTAAATGGATGAATGCAAACCAGGGAGAACGTACAGAAGTGAAAGACACTTGAAAGACAAACGTATAACTCCAATAGCAAATACACCCATGATTGTCGAAAAAGGAAAAAAAGGGAAAAAAGGAATTGAAGAGCTGCTTTGCAAGTTTTGGATTACTTTCCCCACTCTCGATCGGAGTGTGTGTTGTCTGCGTTGCACAAGACCACAAGAGGACATCCGAGTCGGAGTCGAAGCTTCCGCAATCCTGCTCGGAATCAGCCTTTGGAATTCCGTAATTGCAATTTCTTGTGCGCCAATACTAGGTAACCGAGTAACCCGCGGAAGAATGCGAGTCCTAGCGAGTCACTCACTCTCTCTCTCTGTCTCTCTTTTCTGCTCGAGGGAATCCTAGACGCGAGATGTGTTGTGATGGTACCGTTACCATCAAACACATGGGCGCTGACGACGGGGATGACGTCGAGGATGAGCGAGGATCACCTACCTTGACGACTGGGACAACAGCCTGTCGGTCCGGTCACCGCCGCCCTGCAATATGGTCCGTGGCGAGTGTCGGCGAACAATAAACACTTGGTTCGTATAATCCAGAAATAGTGCAACTCGAGTCACGGAACTGGTCGCGGACACACTTTCTGATGAAAGACTGGAGACGGAAACCGCCGCGTCGGGCACTGCACGGGCACTGAGGCGAGATCCACCCAGAGAGTGCAGCAGCAGTTTGCCGCCGCGCGGACAGCCTTGCGAGTGAGAGTTACAAGACGTTCACCATCTTGGCAGTCGCCGCGGCGCATGCGCCGTTAGCTGGGCCAGCGCTCGGCCCGTGACGTCAGAAATAGGACAAGGAGCTGGTGGCCTTTGAGCGCCTTTGAGCGCCGGGAGGGGAGGGCCACTGAACTGTCTCTCCCTTCTAACGAGTGTTCGGGCCGCTCGGCAGGGGGCGGTCCGGGGGACCCAGAGCCCCGGGCCCGCAATTTAAGGGAGCGCCTTGTCGCTTATTTAATAACCCTGATATAATCGCAGCGCCCTAACGCCCAGCCGCAGTCACGGAAGTTTATTCTAAATAACCTGATCAGCGCGCCGACCCTTGCAAAGAGCCACTCCGATTAAACTAGACAGTAAACATTTAATGAGCTACTGGAATTTAACACTGAAATGTCACACCTGTTTTTTCAGCTGACCCGTTACCCGCTCCGTCTTCCTTCTCCGCTTCATTATTCCCCTTCGCTCTTGCACTGCACTCTCCAGAACAACAAACCGGCCATTTCGCAACACGCTCGCTTCGCAATTAAAAAAGGAGGCGCAAGTGATTTATCGAAACTTATAGTTTTTAATGCGGATTTATCAATACACGCACTTGTGGAGCTAAAGATAAGTATTGGGATTGGGAATGGGAATGGATTCCTCAAAGGCACAATCTCTTTCTTGGAATAAAAGGTGTTTTGCAAATATGTGGGAGTCGCTGAGTGTCGGCTAAGGTCACTGATCCAAATTTCGACTCTGCCCTTCTGATTTAGTTATATTGCCTTTTAACCGAAGACAGTGGAATTGATTATACATGATACAATCGTGAAATATACATTTACGCAGAAAGTTATATTTATTATATTTATATATTTTCCAGCTCAAGTGAAATATTATTCTCCGGGAAATTTTTGGATGTTCCCCTGACAATTCCAGCCAATTTATTAAAAATTCCACGGGATTTATATTGTAAAAATTTTGAAAAATTGAAAATACTCTCTAGTGTAAAAGTTCTTTTTGGGGATGTCATCGAAAATTTAAGAAATATTTTCCCACATGAAATTACATTGAATTTAAGTCAGAATTCTGTCCGAATTTCCGATTACAGCTGTGGATACATTAGAATTCTGATTGACATCGGAAAACTAGTAGAATCTTATCAAAAATTGAATTCCATTGGGAGATCCGTTGAATTTCTGTTCTATTGAAATTATATCAAGATTGCATTTGAAATTCAGAACCAATTCCCCTTTGAATTACATCGGCATTCCGATGGAATTCCCAAAGATTTCTAAATATATATTTGGAGACAGAGTGTGCTTTCTACATTTTTAATATATTTTCCGAGAGTGCTCCGGAAATGATCCAGGAAACTATACTCCCGGAGACTCCACTGAATTTCCATGAATCTTTCCAAGTGGGAATCCTTACGAAATCTCTAGGGATCAATTTCTTGTGAATCTTTCCAAGTGGGACATTATGTAAAACAAAATTCAGGAAGTTTTCTTACTAATTGAGCTGTAAAATAGTTTTGTTGGAAAAAAGTAGGTATTATTTGTTTAAAGAAAATTTCAGAATTATTAGCAAAAGAAAATGTATATAGAGCACTATTTTAAGGACCACTAAATCGTTATATTAGTTCCTGTACTATAAAAAGAAATTGTTACGTTAAATTAATGTCGTGCAGTAAAAGTTGAATTAAAATTGATTATTATAAAAAGATATAATTTTAGATGTAAAAATGAATTTTACATCTAAAATTATAAAAGGTCGTTTGTATTTTTTCTCTTCATAAACAAGACATAATCTTCGATAATTATTTTCTACTTAATGAACTAGACCAAAAGACAGAAGCTTCGGCATCGACGCGAATTACAGCAGTTAATAATACTTTAAACGGATTAAGTTTGAAACCAACTCAACTTTCCCGAAGATTATCTTCGTTCCTCCGGATGTTAATAGTGAACATCAGCACCTGAAAGCAAAACCAATTTTATGCTCATATGAAGATTGAAAAAAATGTGATTTAAAAAAGAAATTTAATCCGATGCTTCGTTGAATAAACGGGATGATCAACGAGAAAAAAACATATATGTATTTTCTTTATATTAGAAAAAGAAAATATTTTTCTTAAAGATTTTAAGTGATTTTGACATTTTTGTATTATTTTCTGCAATAAATTTAGTGACAGAAGGCGTTAAAGAATTTCAAACAAGTGTTTTGAGAAGGGTTAGTATCAACATAATCCAATTGAAGAAATGATCCTGCTGTCCAGCTTTTACAATAGAGATGGATAGAATAGGTAGGATAAAGCATACGGACATAATCCTTAACGGTTTTAGTCCAATTTCACAAACAATTCGCCTGTCGAATATTTTTCTTCATTTTTTTCTCTTAATCATAAACCGTGAAGAACATTTACATACATGTCAGATTAGTACAAAATCGCAAATGGGAAATATCTTTATATTTATGTAGTGAGCCTTCGCGCTGTGCGTGTTTCAACAACACAATATATATGGCAAAAATATTGCGCCAATATTGAAGTGTAATATTGCCAATGTTGCCTTGCAATACACTGATTATACTTTTAAAATCTCGCTTCACTTCATATTTAAATATTTCTGTAAAAATAGATATGTAAAAGCTATCAAACTAGAATCATTTTAAAGTTCAATAAATTTAGAGTCAAATGTGCCAAGATGTAACAAATTTAATAATGTGAATATGAAAATATAGTTAATTAAAGATAGAGATTATTTTGTAGAAACTGCGATTTCGACATCTTGAGCACAAGCGAACACCAAATGAAGAAAATTTTTTTTTCAGATTTCAAAGTTTTACTTTTAGAATATGAAGTAGAAATATATTTTCCCTGATGAACTGCCATAGTTATTAAATTCTTATTGTTTGAACCGAGGAACTTTCCTTTAATCTTCAGAAATATAACACTTATTCTGAATTATCTTTACCAATGTAAAGCTATACTTCTTTTATTCATATATATATATGAATAAAAGAAGTTGTAAAAGAAATTGTTTTGTTCAAGGGTTGCAATTTTTATCCACTGTGCGCTCGTTATTCAATTGTCACCAAAACGTCAATTCAAGTTACATAATTTGAATTAGAATGATCATAGTTGTAAAAATTCACTAATTTCTTAATATAATTAAGCAATTACCAATTTTTAGAGTTTAATTTAATTGGTGTTATTAATTTTTAGAGTATAATTAATTGTTAATTGAAGTTCTTAATTTTTATGCAAGCCTACGACGGAATACTCTTTGCAATAATTAACACATAAAAAATTGGTTTTACAACTTTGCATTTAAAGGATAAATTATATAAGGTTTTTAAAAGATATGATTATTATTGATAAATAATTTTAATAACCGGATCAGACTGATACTTTTTCGTATTAAAAAACAGTTATACTACAATATCAATGAGCTTAAATTAAAAGTTATAAAGAACTTCAAATACATCTCAGGCAGAAATTTTCGTAGACAGCCGTATAGTTAACGTCCGATCCACTACTAATATTATAATACTGTTTGGCAGTACTGATTTTCCGTGTAACTTGTACTATTAGGAACTCCGGCATTTTACTGGCTCAGTACGTGCAATGCGTTAGTGAAACAGCTGCTATTATGACTGTTTTGAGGTTAAGCTACTAATACAGCCGTTGATAAGTTGATATGATTACATCAAATAGAAATAATTTTAGGTTATCTGTAAATTTAATTCGGTAGAAAATTTTTACTAGGTACCTATTACCGTTTTTAGTTATTGATAAATTATTATTTAACAAATATATATAAATTACAAAATAAATGGATTAACACGAATTCGTATGAAAAAAAGTAAAACAAAACTATTTATTTCAACACATTTCAAGTTCATGTGAATACATAATTATTCTTGTTAACTAATATCAAATTACAGACTAAATCCTTAGAAGTAAATTTTATTTCTTATTTGAAAATAAAATTCCAATTTCCTAATTTGTCTATTTCTAATTTTTCTTTCCAAATTTTAGATTTCGAAATTATATAGTGAATCCTTAGGAGTTATGTTTCTCCAGCGCAGCATTGCTTTATTACTGGTCTACTACTCTACTACTGGTCGGAACAGAAAATCCGTACTATTACATTACTGATTTTCAGTACTAAGCCCAAGTCAGAGGCGTTACCTCCCGATGTTGGACACGTAATAGGCTAGTATGAAAGTCAGTAGGGGAAAGGTGTACGAGATGATCCCCTGGGGCAAGATGATCCTTTTGAATTTTGGCGAGCCTATATTAGCGCCACCTTTTAGGCAAATACGGTAATACGTTGCCAATGACATACCTATGAATCAGTCAAACTGTCATGACAACACGCGTCATTAAAAAAATTCTATTGAAAAAAATAAAAATTTTATACTTTTGATCTAAGGAAAGCTTAACTTTGGGCTTAGATGGGTGTACAAGATGATCCCCCCTAATTCCCATGTATTTCGCCTCACCTCAAAGTGAATTTTCTAGTATTAATAAAAAATTTAATTTTTCTCGCTTCTTATATGTTTTTATTATGAAAACTAACTTATCTAAAACAAAAAGTTGACATCTACATCTATTTTATTAATTTTCTCGTTGTAGACAATGCCTCGTAATTAAAAAATAGGAAAACGAATCGTGGTGAGTGGTCAAAAGCGTTTATGGCCTAAATAAAGTATATTTAACATTGATACACTGATATTCCTTCAATATAGACTCCTTTTCCAATAATTGGGGAAGATAATCCTACGGATCATCTTGCCCATACCATGGGGATCATCTTGGACACCCCGGTGTCCAAGATGATCCTTTTGTAAGGTTTTAGAAAAATTAAATTTAACAGTAAAATATTAATTAGCTGCAAATATTTCAAATCAGGATAGTTAGATAGATTAATTATCTAGTAGTGCGTACAAAAGAAACTCGAATATGTTGATTTTTCTTTGAATAATAGGTTTTTTCCCTTAGGGGGATCATC